TAGGCTGATTATCGACAGCAATTGTTTACATTGTAATTTCCAATGTGTTATAGTGGAACACACCTATTCTATAGTTAATAGACTCTCCCACCTATAATAAGTGGGAGTAGTAATAGTAACGAGGGAGTCACTCAGGGGGTGTGGGCAGTCAGTCGATGCCGGACGACCGTTAGTCGGATATTAAAGTATCAGCCACCACCACTAGATTTCTCTGCGTCATTACCTATTATATCAAGTTCCTAACATTTTGTACGTCGAACCTATTTTAGGACCGATTTAGTACAAATACAAGCCTCCACTGTGAACCACTACATAACACACTTGGCGACGAGGATTCGAACTCATACGGAGGAAGAAAAACTTTTCGCCATAACACAATGTTTAATCTACGGTGTTATTCCCCAGATGGACACCTCGAGGCGGTGTAGTGTTTAGCAAACTTGTCTTGTTAGAACAATTACGACTGAGTAGTAAGTTCGATCCTCACTGGATGCCCCATACTTTCGGCCTTGAGCCACATCTAAGCTAGGCTTCGAAAATCACTTGGGCACCTCGAGGTGGTTTAATGGTTAGCAAGCTTGTCTTGCTAGAGCAATTACGACTGAGTAGTGAGTTCGATCCTCACTGGGTGCCTCATTCTTTCGGCCTTGTGTCACATCTAGGCTACACTTGAAAAATCAGTATATTATTCAGCAGATTATGTTTAAACGGTTAATTTTAATCTTTTAATTGTATCTGTCATTATCCAGTCTGAAAGCGATACACGTGACATTCAAATATCTTAACAAAATCTAAAGGAGTATCTGCAATGTAATTGATCCTGACCTGGCATCTCGGGTTCAGTCACTTTCTCACCGAGCTGATGTAGCTTCCCTCTGTCTTTTCTAGAAATATTTTCATTTTCTGAGAGTTTCTTTCCCTGGTGCCCGACTACATGAATTTTAGCGTGCTACTAGATTGGCAACTAGGTCCCACCCTTTTTACTGTTGAAATAGTTAAATGCAACCGCCATTTCTACTCTAACAGTTAATTGTCTGTCTTTTCTCGCACTTCCCGCCCGTGGATATCCTTGCTTCTCTGAAATATAAAATCTTCAAAAATTTAAATGCAACGTCATTCGCCATCTTTTATCTGCTTGAATCCTTTTCATCTTTTATCTTTTCCTCACCACCCCACTCCGCCATAACCGGTCTTTTCTTTCGCTTTAATTCTCTGTAAGCCCCTGCGTACTAGTGGCATTCCCGCCTTGCTAGGGGTGAATTGATAAAAAAAACACAAAAAACGTTGAAGTGCCCAATAATTTACTAAGCGTAGCTGACATGTACCACAAGGCTGTAATTATGGAGCACCCAGTCAGGATTGGACTGACTACTTGCTTGTAATTGATCTAGTGATGCAATCATTCTAACCATTACACAATGTCGAAGAGTCAAATGGGAAAGTGCGACACTAAAATCTGAAGATTTATTGGGATGGCCAAAGAAACATTAAAAAAAATAAGCAGAGAATTAAGAGACAGGAAATTTTCATTAGGAACAAAGAAAAGACTATTGAACTGTTAAGTGATATCTGGCCTTCTGTATGGCAGTGAATGCTGGACAATGTCCTCAAAGATGAAAAGGAGCCTTGAAGCAACAGAACTGTGCTTCTACAGAAGGATGCTGAGGATACCATGGACAGAATATGTAAGCAACAACGAAGTTTTGGCGAAAATTGAAACAAAATGGATACTTATACTTAATATCAAGAAGACAGAGATGAAATTTCTAGGATGCATAATGAGTGGGGGGGGGTAACAAGATGGCGGAACAGGATTTGGGAGAAATATCAAAAAGACAGAATTCATTAACAGCTACAAAGGGCAGGGAATTTTGGAAAGTCATTATGGTCTATGTCCTGTAGGAACACAGAAGAAGAAGAAGAAGAAGAAGAAGAAGAAGAAGAAGAAGTGAGTCCGATACTCACTGGGTGCCTCATACTTACAGCCTTGTGATACGCTTAGTAAATCAATATCTTTCAATGTCTAATCTCGTGCCTCAGAATCAATCATTAATAATGCAAATATTCAAAATCTAGACACGGAGTCAATCTGCGATAATCCAAATATGCAATACCAGTCTCAGAGTCAATCTGAGATTATCCAAATATTCATCACCAGTCTCAGAGTCAATCTGAGATTATCCAAATATTCATCACCAGTCTCAGAGTCAATCTGCGATAATCCAAATATTCAACACCAGTCTCAGAGTCAATCTGAGATTATCCAAATATTCATCACCAGTCTCAGAGTCAATCTGCGATAATCCAAATATTCAACACCAGTCTCAGAGTCAATCTGAGATTATCCAAATATTCATCACCAGTCTCAGAGTCAATCTGCGATAATCCAAATATTCAATACCAGTCTCATAGTCAATCTGCAATAATCCAAATATTCAATACCAGTCTCAGAGTCAAACTGCGATAATCCAAATATTCAACACCAGTCTTAGAGTCAATCTGCAATAATCCAAATATTCAAGAACGATCACCCGATTCAATCTGCAGATTTAGAAAGTATCATAAGATATTCAGAGCTTTATATTAAATTCAAATCACGAAAAGTCACCCTGAATTACTTGTATTTGTTTACACTGTACAGGGTTAATTATTAAATGAAATTATCCACTTCCCCTGCTAGTTTCTTTATTTTCAATTAAACAACTGTTTAAAACACATGTTTGGAACGAATTTGATTAGGTTATTTGACCATCTTCACAACCGCCGGGGAAACATCGAGCATAAGTGACACAAGAAAGTATGAAGGTGCATTGAAACTTGACTGAAAAGTTTTCACTTCCTACCAAAGAAAGTACGAGTTGCATTTGCAAGTTTATTTTTGCATTGATGTAGCGGGAATTGGCGACCTTTTTCGAGAAGGAGGCTGCATGAGACGCGACTCGTCATCAGTCTCGGTGCACTGCTAGAAAGAAACCAAGGTCATTTTTTGTTGAAGGTACCTCAACCATTTTTACTACAGAAAACCAGACACGTAAGCATCTACCCTAGCACGTGTCGCTGATTTATCGCAAGTCGTAATAAAAGGTGGAATCAGAAATTGAACATTAAACAAATCATTTTCTTTCCTTGGCGTAGTGTCCTGAGTAAAGATAACATTTTAAGGCTTTTGAATAATTGAATTATTGCAGATTGACTCCGAGTCTCTTTCTAAATGTCTGGATTATTGCAGATTGACTCTGGAAGTCATTCTTGAATATTTGCATTGATGCAGATTGACTCTGGAAGTCGTTCTTGAATATTTTTCATTGTTGCAGATTGACTCTGGAAGTCGTTCTTGAATATTTGCATTGTTGCTGATTGACTCTGGAAGTCGTTCTTGAATATTTGCATTGTTGCTGATTGACTCTGGAAGTCGTTCTTGAATAATGTGACTGTTGCTGATTGACTCTGGAAGTCGTTTTTGAATATTTGGATTGTCGCTGATTGTCTGTGAGGCTCGTTCTTGAATATTTGGATGCCGCAGATTTGTTCTAAGGCTGGAGTTTAATATTTCATTGTTGCAGATTGATTCTCGGATTGGTCTTTGAATCTTTGAATTGTTGTAGATTGACTTCTAGGCACGTTCAAAATTACTCAGATTGGCTAACATTTTTTTTTTTTTTTTTTTTGAATGGAGTACCAAAAGGCAACAGTTATTATTAAGTAAGGGAGATTAATAATGGAGCATGTAATCGTATTTTATATTTACATGTAATTACATGTAATCGTATTTATATATTTACATTTTAAATGAAATCCATTTTTAGGTTTTAGGTCATCTTTACATATATATTCATGTGTCTAGGAAAATTAAAGACGAAAAGAGTTTAATTTTGTTATGCACGTGTATATCTTATACGTTCTGCACGTAGAAAAGCACTTTATTAAAATTTTGCACTAATGTTCTACAGAAAAGATTACCTAACAACTCCTCAATTTTTAGTGCTGAAATTACAGCCATTGATTTAGCTCTAGACCTCATCACTAAACTTAATTCAAATAAATTCATTATTTTTGAAGTCTCATTATCAGTACTCGAATCATTAAAAAACCAAAAATTAAACAATCCTTTGCTCATCAAACTCCTACATAGAATACATGCGATCTCACAAAATAAAACCATTATTTTCTGTTGGATTCCCAGCCACTCTGGTTTTCATGGAAATGAAAAAGCTGATGTGGCTGCAAAAAACTCTCTGAAACTTAACACAAGTAACATAAAGTTTCCATACACTGACTATAAACCCCTAATAAATGACTTTATTTTGAAGAGATGGCAAGACGCTTGGAACAACTGCCAAAACAACAAATTATTTAAAATCAAAACCTCTCTAAAGGAAAAACTAACTGAACACAGAAAATCACGCAAAGAAGAGTGGTTTTATCCCGTATTCGCATAGGACACGCGCACATAACTCACTCCTTCCTCCTAAAAGACGAAGATCCTCCTGAATGCATAGCATGCCAGGAGGCTTATACTGTGAAGCACTTCCTGCTTGATTGCGGTGACACGGCACATATTCGAATATTATTTTACATCGTGAACAACTTGAAAGAACTTTACGAAAAATCAAACCCCAATTTGATCTTGACGATTCTTAGGAAAGTTGGACTAGATAATAAAATATAATTCCAATTTGGTGTCTGATGATGAAAGGGGGAACTTTGATACTTGACAGGTGAGAAATTTTCAAAGAACAACGCACCTCTGAAAACAGTGAATTTAAAAAAAAAGAAAGAAAGACAACATCGAAAAAGAAGGAAAGTGAAAGTCTTTTTGAAAGCATTTCAACCTTATTTAAAGAAAAAGAAAAAAACAACAACTGTTTGACCTTAAATGATCTCTTGCTGATCGAGGGGTCGTTATGTTTTAAACAAACAAACAAACAAACAAAATAATGCAAATAAAAGGTGTTCTAATAACTTGGATCGATTTTAAATGTAGTGTAGGGGTATATTATTCAGATAGATAGATAGATAGATAGATAGATAGATAGATAGATAGATAGATAGATAGATAGATCGAGCGAGCGAGAGAGAGAAAGAGATAGAGAGAGCAAAAAGAAATATAAATGCATATACAAAGAGTAGAGGGATAAAGAAGAGAAAATAAGGGAGGGGATAAGAAAATATAATATAGAGGGGTCGGTGACCAGTGAACAAAAAAGAAAAGAAAAAAAAGAAGAGGTGATAAAGACAAAAAAGAAGAATTCAGAAAGGTAAACGTTAAAACAAAAGAGGAGGAGAGGATAAAACATAGATCGATAGATAGATAGATAGATAGATAGATAGATAGATAGATAGAATAAGTAGAAGTAGAAATATGGTTGTTTGGTTGATTTTGTTTCGTGGAATATCAAAACCTTTATGGGTTATTTCAGGTCGAAATCGAAATATTTTGAACACAGTTTTATGGCTTTAACTAAATATATTTTGAACGCAATTGCATTCTCTTAACCAGATAGATAGATATATAGATAGATAGATAGATAGATAGATAGATAGAACAAGTAGGAGTGGAAAGATAGTTGGTTGGGTGATTTTGTTTCGTGGCATATCAAAACCTTTATGGGTTATTTAATGTCGAAATCGAAATATTTTTAACACAATTTTATGTCTTCAATTAAATGACGCGTTCTGTGGATGAGAGACGTATTCAACATTTGATCATTTTGCGGCAATACACACTTAAAGGTTTTAGGCAGTTTTGATTAACATTTGTTTCCATGGTTAGTCGTACGACTTGATGCTTTTAGATTTCTTCCTTTGGTGTCATGTCAAGAGTAAGGTCTATGCCAACAAACCAACAACAATTCAACAGCTGAAGAATGAGATAATCAGACATATTCGTGAGATCGAGTAGCAACTATCCCGAAATTTTGACTATCGAGTGGAGGTGTGCCGCCGAAGCCTTGGCGGACATTTGGGCGATATTATTTTTCACACGTAATTGCCATAACTTAAATAACATGATCCAATATAGAAATAAAGTTTCCCCAATGACACTGATTTATTTACTGCTAACTTTGATCCGTCTTAATGAAACATCCTTTATTCATACCTGATGTATTTGTATATTGAACGACTACTATATTTCCTATCAAAGTCGGATACCAAGATTTTATTGTTTTCTCGAACGCGGCAAATATAACTAAACTCACTCTGTGACCAACAGAAAAAAGCAAATATTAATTTCGTTTTTGCTTACCAACTTTATTCTTCAAAAACTAATGTATAATTACATTTTATTGCATATATACCACTGCTTGCAATGAATTGTTACCCATTATCTGGCCGCTCTTCGATACCTTTTGAGTAAAGTTCCGCAGGAACTGACATGGAAAAATGTCGATGAACACCTGAATCTGGTTTCACGAGAGAAAGATTTCCTCATTAAAACCATTCGCTGCGCTTGAAAAGTTAATAATAGGTTGGTTTAAGGTCAGGTGAATATAGTGTGTGTGGCAGAACAGACCAGCCGAGTTCGATTTCCGACATCCTTCTTGCTGTATGTGACATTGTCGTCGTTGTTGACACGTTGCAGCTGCTGGATGTATAAATGTGCATTTACTGTTTCATTGCGTTTAAAGAACTCTAAAGGAGTAATAACCCGACGATCTCATCACACGCATAACAGCTTTCTTCCATGGAGCTCAGATATTAGGGGTCGGCTGTGGAGATTTTTCCTTGTCAATCCCCTGGCTTTTGTGTTGGACATTGTCATATGTAACCCATTTTAACCTGTTATATATAAAGAATAATTAATTAAGATGATAATTTTGTCATTGCGATTGGTTACCTCAAATAGAAATTATTCTTGTTGGATACAGCCTTGAACATATTGAGAACAACATCTTTCCTATTGATGAGCAGAGGGAAGTTTTTGATCAAAAGTTCTATGGACATATTGCAGCTGCTGGATGTATAAATGTGCATTTACTGTTTTACTGCATTTTAAGGACTTTAACTTTGAATTAATAATACCTTGACCATCCCATCTCACACACACACACACACACACACACACACACACACACACACACACACACACAATATCCCCATTCATTCATGTGGCTCAGCTTTTGGTGGTCACTTGTGGAGATTTAATGGTGTTAATCCTCTGCATTTTTGTGTTGAACATTTGTTGTATACTTAAAAGACTTCAAGCAGACAAAGATGGTACAAGAGTGGAAGGAACAGCGACACGGGCGTAGATGGAAGAAAGAGAGTTTTTTTTTTTGTTGTAAAAGAGACTACACTACTGAAAGACAGGGACTCGATTAACACTTCCCGAAGCCAGTCAGACAGAGACAGTCAGACAAACAGACATTGGTATATCATGTGCACACTACATATATTACTGATATAATCAGTCCACAATAAGTAATAGGGAGAGTGCAACATTCCATTACAACAACATTGTTGTATATAACCCACTTTTCATCACCTGTTAGGTTATATTTAAGAAACGGTTACTTTGGATGATACTTTCTTCATTGCAATAGGTTCCCTGAAAATATGGCGGATGTGATAAAACAGACAAACAGTTTGATTTTCCCCCATGCTGTATGTAGCATTGTTGTTGTCATTGCTGACATGTTGCAGATTCTGGATGGGCATTTAGTGTTTCAGTGCATTTTAAGTGTTCTAAATGAATTATAACCCTGCGACCCCATCACACGTACACCCTTTCATTTCTTCCTTTGAGCTCAGCCTTTGGAGGTCAGTTACGGTGATTTATCTTTTGCTTTGAATAATGTCATATGTAACTGTTGTGGCCTTGTTAGGGCCAGAAATAAAGACACAAGAGAGGAATTGACTTAAATATATTAACAGAAAAACAGTAATACAAACGAGAGTGTTACAGCAAGAATATCCTGTCAGACTATCCGAGCTGAGTGCTGGAATCGTCACTCTCTAAAAGGCAGTACCTGCTCCTATTTATAGCTGGGAGAGTCCATGCGTGCGTGGGTAAATTAACATAACACTTTGTTTGTTTCTTTTTTTCTTTCTTTCTGTTGTGGTCTTGTTAGGGACAGAATTAAAGACACAAGAGAAGAATTGAGTTAAACAAATATATTAACAGAAACAGTAATACAAACATATACAAACGAGAGTGTTACAGCAAGAATGTTCAGTCCGACTGTCAGAGCTGACTCCTGGAAACTACACTCCTCTAGAAGGCAGTACCTGCTCCTATGTATAGCTGAGAGAGTCCATGCGTGAGTGGCAAATTACCATAACACTTTCTTTCTTTCTGTTGTGGCCTTGTTAGGGCCAGAAATAAAGACACAAAGAGAGGAATTGAGTTAAACAAATATATTAACAGAAAAACAGTAATACAAACATATACAAACGAGAGTGTTACAGCAAGAATGTTTGGTCCGACTGTCAGAGCTGACTGCTGGAAACCTCCCTCTCCAAAAGGCAGTTCCTGCTCCTATTTATAGCTAGTAGAGTCCATGCGTGTGTGGATAAATTACCATAGTCCTTTTTTTCTTTTGTGGCCTTGTTAGGGCCAGAAATAAAGACACAAGAGGGTAATTGACTTAAATATATTAACAGAAAAACAGTAATACAAACGAGAGTGTTACAGCAAGAATATCCTGTCAGACTATCAGAGCTGAGTGCTGGAAACGCCCCTCTCCAAAAGGCAGTACCTTCTCCTATTTATAGCTGGGAGAGTCCCTGCGTTCATGGGTAAATTAAGATAAGTTACCCATTTTAAGCAATACATATTTAAAGAATGATTAGTTCGAATGATAATTTTGTGATTATAATTGGTTAGCTAAATTAAAAATTATTCTTGCTGGATTCAGCCATGGGCATGCTGAGAACAACATCTTTCCTATTGATGAACAGAGGCCCCTTTTTGATCAAACTTCTATGGACATGTTGCAGCTGCTGGATGTATAAATGTGCATTCACTGTTTCAGTGCATTTTAGGTGTTCTAAAAGAATAAAGACTTGACGATCTCCTCACACACACACCGTTACCTTTCTTCCCTGGAGGTCAGCATTTGGGGTTCAGTGTGGAGATATATTTTTGCAAAAGGAAATTATTTGCTTTCTTTTTTCCGCTAAGAGACTGTGGCACCCAAACATCCAACTTGCGTTAACATCTTTGCTAATTCTCGAGTACTATGCCGTCGATTACGGTCCACTAATAGCTTTAGGAGGCACGGTGGAGTAATGGATAGCGGCTCGGATTGAGGAATCGGAGAGCCGAGTTCGAATTCCAGTTGAATCCATTACACTCACTTACGGGCTAATACCCTTGGGAAAGGTATGAATCTTTTCTATGAAGGACAGACCGGGTTCTATAGCCTTGGATAGCAACTGGTCTACCGCAGAAAGAAATGGCAACCTACTGCGGGGAAAAATATCTGCCTCGAAATATACATGATCGCCTAAGCTTGTATCATGCATGGCACATAACTGACTTTCTTTATGAGTAAATAGCATGATAGAGCGGGTTCTATAGCCTTGGATAGCAACTGGTTTACCGCAGAAAGAAATGGTAAGCTACTGCGGGAAAGAAATCTGCCTCGTCAGTCATGTATCGAGGGATACATGATCGCCTAAGCGTGTATCACGCATGACACATAACTGACAATAACTTTAGAGTTTCATTATTACCCCGTTCGGTGTTCATTTTCTAATGACGTTCCTCCACAACGAAACTTTTCAAATCATGTCCTTATGTCAGTCATGACTCGTTGGCTGTAAACAATACATATTTTTTGTAATCCCAAGCCATTATCCAAGATTACAGCACCTGATATCACGAAACGATCACCCATCTGGTTACTGACCAGGCTCGATGTTGCTTAACTTCGGTAATTGTACGCAAACCGGTGTTCCAACGTGACGTGTCCGTAAGTGAATATGGCGGGTACAGTAGAGAAAAATTTAATTTAAAAAATGTTTATCTGTATTACTGTCGCCATATGCATGATGCTATATGCATTGTCATGAATAAGAGCAACATTTTCTTATTAAAGAGCGTAAGGTGCTTTTCGACGTAGGGACACGTTGCAGCTGCTGAACGTATAAATGTGCATTTATTGTTTCATTGCATTTAAAGAACTCTAAATGAATAATAACCCAACAGTCCCATCACAATCTTTCTTCCATTGATCTCGGATTTTGGGGGATACTTGTGGAGATTTATTCTTGATAATCCGCTGCGTTGAACAGTGTTGCATATAACCCGTTTTTCATCACCTGCTATGGCATATTTAAGTTGTGAGTTATTTTTCTGTTGCAAAGAAGAATCGTTGCTATCTATAAACTATTTGATTTGTTCTTTCCGCTAAGAGCGTATGGAGTTCAAACTTTAAGCTGACTTTTCCTGCCATTTTTAAGTGTCGGCATATGGTAGATTGTGATGTGCTTAACATCTTTGCTAATTCCCGAGTACTTTACTGGCCATTGCTTCCGTTAATGACACCAGAGCTTCATCACCAAAGCCCAATGACCACCCCGATATGGTTTCATCGTCCAACGATATTTCTCCAGCGTGTGTGTAGGTGTGCATGTATGTGTGTGTGTGAGAGAGAGAGAGACAGAGGGAGGAGAGAGAGAGGGAGGGAGGAGAGAGACAGAGAGGGGGAGGGAGAAAGAGAGAGAGGGAGATAGAGACAGAGAGAGGGAGAGAGACAGAGAGAGGAAGGGAGAGAGAGAGGGAGATAGAGACAGAGAGAGGAAGGGAGAGAGGAGAGAGAGAGGGAGGGAGAGAGACAGAGAGAGGGAGAGAGACAGAGAGGGAGAGAGGAGAGAGGAGGAGGAGAGAGGAAGGAGGAGAGAGAGAGACAGAGAGCGAGAGAGACAGAGAGAGGGAGGGAGAGACAGACAGACAGACAGACAGACTGATCTCAATGTTTTGAGTTGTTTGATGTTTAACTATGGTCACCTGCTTATTGCAAACAACTGCTCTCAATGACCCGAGGATTCAGTCAAGCAGTTATGTGCCATGCGTCATACACGCTTAGATGATCGTGTATCTTTCGATACATGACTGACGAGGCAGATTTTTTCCCCTGCAGTAGGTTGCCAGTTTTTTCTGCGATAGACCACTTGCCATCCAATGCTATAGAACCCGGTCTGTTCTGCTATATACCCATAGTCAGTTAGCTATGTGCCATGCATGATACACGCTTAGGCGATCATGCATCTTTCGATACATGAGTGACGAGGCAGATTTTTCCCTGCTGTAGGTTGCCATTTCTTTCTGCCATCCAAGTCTATAGAATCCAGTCTGTCCTGCTATATACCCATAGCTGCCGTAAGTTAGGATTAGTGCAAAAAAAAAAAACATTGGAAGGACGATTCTAGTACGCGCATGAATGGTTACATCTTAATCTCTTCAGACATGCATTTACTGTGTTTAAAATTTTGGATAAAGGTCAGGTGACATCAAATACTGATATTCTAGCGCTTTCCTTAATAATCTTTCTGATTAGGTGAACATTAGTGAAAACAAATGAAACAACTATTATGAGGTACAAATATTATTGCGAGTGGCAATACTGATAATAAAAACAGTCCACGTGAGAGCATTACTAAGAAATTCTCTCATTTGGACTGTTTAGTGTCTTTCTAAGAGTTCCAATTCCTTGGTTAGTTTTGCAGAAGGCCTTCAAGACCATGCCAAGTACTTCAAGAATTCGATGTGCGATAATTATGTTGGCAAAGTTTAACAAACATACACGAAAAAAAGCAAAAAAAAAAAAAAAAAAAAACAAATAAAATAAAACCATGTTTGAAAAGAACGTTTTTTTCTCTCTAGATATCCGCCATTAGTGTATACATTCTCGAAAAAAAGCGATTTAATAAATCCAAAAATATGAAACTGGATATATACATTTTTATGGGCTCTCAACCTATTTTAGAGATTTTTATGTGAAATATTTTTATAATATTTATATAATAATACTACTAATAAAATACAAATATTTTAATAATATTTATATAATACTACAGATAATAAAATAGAAATATTTTTATAACATAATACTACAAATAATAAAATAGAAATATTTTTTTATATTTATACGATAATACTAATAACAAAATAGAAATATTTTTATAATATTTATGTAATACTAAAATAATAAAATGGAAATATTTTTATAATATTTATATAATACTACAAATAATAAAACAGAATTATTTTTACAATATATAGATAATACTACAAATAATAAAATAGAAATATTTTATAATATTTATATAATAATATTAATAATAAAATAGAAATATTTTTATAATCTCTATCTATAAAAGGCAGGATGTGTGTGTGTGTGTGTGTGTGTGTGTGTGTGTGTGTGTGTGTGTGTGTGTAACGAATGCACATGCAATTTTCGACGGATTTGCACCAAAATTTACATGCACATGCTCCAAGTTAGCGGCAAGGCCAAGACCGACTTTGCATTTCCCAACTCCCATCGATAGTGGAAATAATCGATTTTTCATGCTTCTACGGCAGTTTTCATGTAGTTTGCGGCCATTTTGTACTGGCCAGAGTGAGAGCCTATAGCTGGCTGCCACGAATAGTCAGAAAGATTCTATTGGCCAGCGTGAGAGCCAACAGCTGACTGACACGAATGTTAACTAGCATGCAAAAAAAAAAAAAAAAAAATAGATAGCTGCATTCGTCACAAGTGGGAAAGATTTAAATCTGCATGGCACTTTACTGCAATTGGCTCATTCACTTGCTTAAACTCAACGTTGATTCTGATACCGCAGAACTGGGTTGGGTGTGAAAAAAGTATTTGTTGTTAACATTCTTTTTCATTCGGTTTTTCAGTTACGAGTCCTTTTTAAAGCTGATCGTTTTGTGTTCATTTTGTTTAGTTCTTTTTTCGTAACAGATTTAATGTTTAGTATAGAGCTTAGAAAAAAATTCGCAGTGTGAGATAGGCAAGAAGTAAAGACATGTAGCAACATCAGCACGGAAAAAGGCACTCCTATAAAGTCAAGGAAGGGCAAACATATTTTAAGTCAAGTGATAGCGATTGCTGTATGAGTCGTACGATCTTTGAATCAAGCACGGGCAACGCCGGGCCATAATACCACATATAATAAAATATAAATATTTTTATAATATTTAGATAATACTACAAATAATAGACATATTTTTAAATATGTATATATTAATAATAATAATAAAATAGAGGAAATGAAAGAATTCCCTTAAATGTGTTTTTTTTTATTTACAAAGTTTTTCTTTATTGATTTGTCATTACGTGTTCAGTTAAATGTTCTTGTTCAGTTTCACACAATTTTTTTTATATAAATTTACAGATGAAATAATAACCTTTCATACTTATTTCTTTGATAAATAATATACATTAACTTTTAGTTGGTCCTCACATTTTTTTTTAGAAACGTGCAGATAGAAATAATTTTATAATATTTGTATACTACTAATAATAATCAGCCTTCTTCGTGTAGGATTATCTTGGGGCGGAGCAGGGACTGGGACTTTCGAGTCGAAATGTCAACAGAAAGAGACGGACTGTTAGGAGGACCAGACTCGCCCAGCCGCGCCAAGCTCTTGTGACTCCTGCTCATGACACTTCATAGGTAGGCTGAGCCTTCGCAGCCATCTCCGCCACCACCACCAGGGGAGGAGAAAGGGGATAGAGAGAGAGGATGACGTTCCCGATGCTCGGACACCAGCGGGTACCGACGGCTAATAATAAGGAAATATAAATATTTTTTGTAATATTTATATAATACTACTAATAATAAAATAGTAATATTTTTATACTTAATACTAGTAATGATAAAATAGGAATATTTTTATAAACAAATACTCTTATAATGTTTATATAAGTCTACTAATAAATAGGACTATTTTTAAAATATTTATATGATAATAATATAATAATAATAATAATAATAATAATAATAATAAATACAAATACTCTTATAATGTTTATATAATAAGTCTACTAATAAATAGAACTATTTTAATAATATTTATATAATTAAACTAATAATAAAATAGAAACGTCTTTATAATATTTATATAATAGTACTAATAATAAAATAGGAATATTTTGTAATATTTGTAAACAATTACTACTAATAATACAATAGAAATATTTTTTTATAATATTTATATAATAAAGTTAATAATTAAATAGAATTTTTATAATATTTATAGCTTACTACTAATGATAAAATAGAAATATTTTAATAATATTTGCATATTAATACTGCAAGATTATAAAATATTTCTGTTTTATAATCTTGTAAATGTATATGTGTGTATCATATTTCTCGTTGGTCTTGTGGGAGTTGGTTGTGTTGGTAGATGTATTGATTGAGAGATTTTTGGTGTGTGTTGGAGGGAAAGATTTTGTTTACATCGTCCAGAGTCTTTCACTCCAGCACACACCAAACATCACCCAATCAGCACACTTAGTGTCACAACCAACTGCCGCAATACAAACTAGAAACAAGATACACACATATACACACGTCATCTTCCCTCAACCAATCTTGTAAATATTAAAATTCTTCTTCTAAATAAACAATCTATTGAACAAATAGCGTTTAATATTTTTGTTGTGAATTCTCGAGAAAAAAGAAATCCTGTTATACATGTTTTACAAAAATTCTAAAAAGTAGCTTTTTGTTTTACAATAAAAATGGCCAGTGCCGTGTTTACCTATAGACTTTGCAGGCAGAAGCCTAGGGCTTCAAAATCTAGGGATGAGAGGTCTCCAGCCAAGATGTACAATTCTTTTTTAAACTGTCACAGGCCTTTCTTAGACATGCTGACATAATGCATTGTAAACTCTAAGCAAGTGCTTCTGAACCTTTTTCGGCCCATGGACCATTTTTTCTTAAAAAAATTCAAATGAACCACTCCTTATTTTTTATTTTACTCAAAGAAAAGATATATATAAAGATACTAGCAGTAGAGCCCGGCGTTGCCCGGGGATGTAACAGTAAGCGATAGATCAAGTATCCACCATCATAAAGACTGAAAAATAAAATTGATGAAGATTATTGTTTAATGTTGACGGACACGCATGTCTTAATTAGTTTTTTTTTGTTATTTTTTTTACAAATTGGTCAAACACAAACTCAAACAAAAACATTGTTTTCAATCGTTATGAGTCTACCGATTGAATAGAATTTTATTATAAACAATTGTCTTGTAAATGGAATTTTTAAAGCATTCTGAATGTAAAAATAAAGAAAAAGTGTGCAAGACAATAAGAAACACTACATGCCAAAAAAAAAGTGAAGTTTTGTTGAAATCCGGTTGAAAAATGTAGGAAATCCGATCCCATATATAAACGAACACACACACACACACACACACACACACACACACACACACACAAACAACCTGGGTTTTATAAGTATATCTCGATATGAGTTGTCCCCCGTTCATTCTGGCAACAGAATCGTGTTTTCAAATTGATTTCGTGCAAAACAATTGTGTTTTTTCAATTTTGGCGCTGTCAGAACCACCGCAAGGTAATTTTACGTAGTCCTGTGAGGTTTATTTGAAATCGGTTGAAAAATGTAGGAAATCCGATCCAATATATAAACGTACAGACACACACAAAATCTGCGTTTTATATATATAGTAAGATATATATATAATAAGATAAAAAGATAAAATAAATATAGCCTTGCATAATACCTACATAATTTAAAAATTTTCAAATATAATCGACATGTGTGCAATTAAACAAAATTTTATATTTTTTAATCCTTCAAATTATGAATAATTTAGAGATACATTTTTATGAAATGGCTACAATTTTTTATGGCTATGAATTCTTTGTGGACCATAAGAAATGCAATGTGGACCACCGGTGGTCCACCTGTAGCACGTTGATAAACACTACTCTAACTAACCTTTCAGTAATTTCAAATACACGCTATCATCCTCGTCCTTAGATAAATCCTATAATTTAACACTCTTCCATATTCCTCTACTGGTGAGAATGCAGTATTTGTAGGGTCCTCACAAGAAGATTTGCTTAGGGCCTCTATTCATCTAAATCCGGCCCTGAAAATAGACGAGCAAATTTAGAATAAAAGCGGTGTCAAGAGAAAAACCGTCCCTTTGGGTTTTTTTTCCGGATACGTTTGTTAATCTTTAGCATTGCATTTTGTTTCGTCCACCATTCATACAAATCTCTGGTAAGACGGAGATTGTATTTATTTTGTTATCAACAGAAACATTTCTCCCCAACTTTTATTCCTTGTCCATATTTTCTTTTTTGCTTTTTTTTTTTTTAACCATATTTCCAAGTCATGACGATAAACAACATCCGGCAGCAAGGCCTTTGATCGGAAGATTGGAGATTTTGAGGAGCGTGGAAGCACCGCTTAACTGTTGTTGTTCTCAAGCCCACCCCGACCCGGGGTGGTAGCACCTGTTAGGGTCCCAGCTATGGGTAAATAGTGAACCCCAAAACAGAAACAAAACACTATGAAAGTATAAAAATATATTTTTATAGTAAAATACTAGCAATACAGTTTTTATATAAAAAAAGCACAATATATATTTATAGCAAAATTATCAACAATAGATTTTATCGT